CAGCCAGGACACTTTAGTGTGTTGCTGTCCAGGTAATGGTTCTGGTTACAGTTCCTGTTACTTCTGTTTCTTAGAAACGGCTGGTCAATGTGATGCATGGCTGGTCACTAAGATGCATATTGTAAGAGCCAGTCCTCAATTGACAAGCCATTCTGTCTGTGTATCTCCAGCTTGCTTATCCCATATAGGCCCTAGACCATCAGCAATCAGGGCCTGATATTTTGGGAATGATCCCAGTCAACGCCCGTCCGATGTTGAATAAATCTACTTCCAAATCCTGGGTGTTGTTTTGATGTTTCTGTTTGCTGTAGCAATTCCACTTTTCTCTCTTTCTTAAGGGATCATCTTCTTCAGTGGTTTTTGGGTAGGAAGATGCGGCATAGATGGGGATAGGCTGTGTCTCTTCTCCACCCTGGAGTCATGAGTAGTGCCTGTGCCCCTCTGTTGACCCTTGCTGTGCTTGTCCCTGCTGAGAGAGACAGGACACGGAGCCCTTGCTGGGATGCTGCTCCGCTTGCACTAATGACAGCGGAGATGGAGGTGGGTGGCCCTGTGCAGTCTCTGCCTTGTCCTTTGCACTGCGAAGGGTGACCTTCCGGGCTCTCCCTGAGCATCTGAATTCTGCATTGGATTGAGGATAATTAAGAGGGAGCATTTAAAAACGGTGTGCTAAACACAGCTCTCTCATCCTGGGGAAAATCTGCCAGGAAGTGGGAACTCTTCACTTGCAATGGTCTCCTGCGAGTGTGCCCTCCTCCGGACGTCAGTCCTTCGTCTCAGGGGCCAAGGCCTTCCAGGAGTTCTCGCTCTGTTGTTTTCTGTGTGTTCCACTTTCCACAAAACCTCTCCCTCCTTTAGGATGGGTCCTTCCTCTCCGAGAGGCTCATTTCTGAAGTCTGAGTAAATGAGGCTCACGTCCCTGGAGGATTTGACACGGGGGTCCTTTGGTGTGGTGGGTGGGCGGGCCGCGGGAGGGCCGGCAGAGTCCTGCTACACTGAGCTCCATGGTGGAGCCTGTGAGGTATGGGTGGAAGTCTCCATGCAGATGTGAGCTGGGGCTTTGGCTCCTGCTCTTCTGATTGTCCTGCTAGCAATGGTTGGAGCCCTGGAGCCTCCCCAAGTTACTCGCTCTCTCTTTCTATCCCCCGATCCCAACTGTAAACTCTCAGTAACAGGAGAGTCAAAACTCACAAAGTACCAGGCACAGCGGCACAAGCCTACACTCCCAGCACTCTGAGAGGCTGAGGCAGTCGGATCACAGGTTCAAGCATATCCTGGGCAACTTAGTGACTTAGCAAGACCCTAGCTCAAAAAGGAAGGAAGGAGGAAAAAGGAAAGGTTTGGGCTGGGGTTGTAGCTCAGTCCAAAGGCTCTGAGTTCAATTACTAGTACCACACACACGCGCACACATAAATCAACAAAACAAAACAAACCCCAAACCCTCAAACCACCACCACCACCGAAAAGCCTCAAGTCACCTGGTGGCGGAGTATTTTCCTCCCGATTAGCTCCGGTCCTGCAACTTTGCTTTGAAATCACGGCCCCTGCAGCCTCCTGAGAGTAAGAAATACACCCCATGCCGGGCCTTCCAAAGACAGAGGGAAAACTGGAAGCACCATTAACATAAGCCCTGCTGTCTCCTCGGGCCTGTTTTCCTCTCCACTGTCTCCTCTCTTTCTGGGAAAGGAGGCTGATTGGGTACACGTCTCCAGATTCATAACCACGTTCATCCACTGTTATTATGTCTTTGAGGATCTGATCTTAAAGAATGACAGTACTGGTCTTTTTAGAGACTTGTGTAGGTGTTTGGAGCACATGTTCAACCACTACAACTTGACATACTTCTCCAAACCTGTTAAAGTGGTCACTAACATGTCTTTAAATTTACCAACAACACAGCTCAGCCGAGTCACAAACAGAAGGAATAACACTAACGCTTAGAGAAATGATCACAGTATTTAACAGCAAATGACGGATCAGACACTGGCACAACTACCCTGAGAAGCAGCCTCTGTTCCACCTCTAGCACCGAGATTCCTTCTTGTTGTGGAGAATACAGAAATTCGTTTGCAAGCAAGTTCAGGGTAGGTATCAAACCGAGAAAAGGATGACACTCGGATTTGTTTTTTACTTTTGCTGTGCAAGACCCCTCACTGCTCACACTGGAAGTTCAGCTGGCTGATCTGTCCACTCTTGGAGTTTTGGCTGAAAAAAGCAATCTGATCTCTGTGTAAGTGGCAGTCCCGTGTGGGCTCTGAGCGCTACTGTAAACCCGGAGGGGGGCTCGTCAATGTGGGGGGCCTCCTGGAGCACATGGGCGGGTGACCTGTGAAATGAAAGCATAGCCGGGGGAGATAAGGCTTTCATGCATGATCGACAAGCCGGTTTCTGGTGATCTTCATGATAGCTAAAGTCAAGAGTTCTTGGGGCCAGAAAGCCAGGAACAGGGCAGGGACGGAGAGACCACCCAGGGCTCCAGTTGTACTGCACAAATGATTCTCGGCTTTGTGAGATTCTTTAGCAAATTTCTCTCTCTCTTTCTTTCTCTCTCTCTTTTTTCCCCACTAGTCTCTTGGCTAGGATAGTTTTTGCACTACTCTCCTTTCTGGAAAAAAACAGGTTGCTGTTTTTGAAGTTATTATGATGTAGTCATGAGCTGCTGATAGGCAGATGGCTGGAAAATACCAGGCAGAATCATGCCAGGGAGACCAGGTGTCAGCAATGGGGAGGGTGGGGCCACAGTTCGGTGAGCTTCTGACTTTGTCACGAGCTGGGGGCTGGGGGCTGGGGACAGAGCGGGCAGTGACTCTGCTGGTCTACACGCCTTTCTGTCTCTCTTCTTTGTGGTACCAGGTTGATTTGAAGTCATTCACACTGAGCTACATCCCCAGCCTTAAAGAAAACAATTTTTTTTTGACACAGGATCTTGCTAAGTCACTGAGTTTCCCAGATGGGGCTTGCACTTGCAATTCTCCTGCCTCAGCCTCCCAGAGAGCTGGAATTATAGCCATGTGCCTCCAAGCCCTGCTCTGGAAGCATCTTCTTAAGATACAAAGGCTACCTTGGCCACATTTCATAACTTTTTATTGCAAATTGATACTTTAATTTTAGGATTGGAATCAATCATTTAAAAAATTGTAACTGTCTTTTCTTTTAAAATTACTGTAGTAGTCTGCTCTGGTGGATGTAACCAAATAACACAGGAAAAAGGCTCACCTGAGTCTTCAGGGAGGATCTGCTGTGATTCTCTGGGGCCAGGGCAGTCCTGAAACTGGGGTCACCCGCGGATGCTTTGATAGATACTTTTAAGTTTCTCAGGAAGCCCTGAAACTACACAACAGAGAGAATGCACTGTAGAACAGCCCTGGGGCCCACAGGGTAGAGTTTCTGAAGAACGATGTCTCGTGGTGCTCTAGGGTAACCTGCGATGTTTGACTGTGCTTTTCGGGGTGGCTTTGGAGCCCGCTGTGCTCCTGAGTGTGTTGGCAGTACTATGATGTGTCCTAGACCATTGCCGGAGTCTACAACCCAAAACTCAGGTATGGTCCTTGCAGGAAATCTTAGCCAACATTCTTAAGGTGTCCAGCGAGGTGGCACTGTGACTGCAAAAATCCTGAATGATTTAACATGAAATGATTTTAATGTGAAGCGTAATTGGCTTTGGAGGAGACAGAGTCTTTACCGTAAGTCCATCCCATTTCTTTGGAAACCATAATAATATGCCAACAGATCACGCTTGGTTAAAAGGTGAAAATCTATGGAACTTTACTGCTTCCAGGGATGATGGACCCATTCTATAAGGACCAACATGATGATGAATCTTAAGACTTGGCCTTGGAGTGATTTTAGATTTTTTTCCATGGCAGCCTTCAAGGCCAGTGAATGTCTCATGATTTTCAAGCATTTATTTCTTTGATTACTGCCTCTTGTTCAAGTGAATTTATTATTGCTATCAGAACCATGTTATGGCTTATAACTAGATGTCCCCCCAAAGCTTCATGTGCTCATAAGTAGGGCTTTTTGGAGGTAGCTGGATCTAGGATGTGTGAATATAGATTATGAGCACGATGCTAAATTACTTCATGGATTGGTTTAGCACAGTTCTGAGAGGATTTACTGAAAACAGAAGACCCATTCTAGGTGTGAATGACACCAACCAATAGGCTTGTAGCCTGAATGAAATAAGGAGGGAGAAGGAGGATCCTCCTGGTCCTTCTTGCTTCCTGCTTTCTGCCTCCCTGCCATGGACTGTTTCTGCTCTGTGATGCCCCTCTGCCATGCTACCTTGCCTTGGAACCAGCCGACTGTAGACTGAAACTTCTACAAACTGTAAGCTAAAATAAACTTTTGCTCCTTTAACTTTTGGGTGTAGGATATTTTGTCCCAACAAAGAGGAAAGTAACTAAAACCACGTAGTTGTCCATAAACTGTTATTAAATAAAAACACAGGCTAGGGGCAGGACTTAAACAATAGACCCTTGTGTTTGTACTGCTTTGGAGTCTGAAGTTCAAGATGGGGGGGTTCCAGCAGGGTGGGTGGCCCTGAGGCCTCTCTTTCTGGCCTGCAGATGGCTGCCTTCTTGCTGGTCCTTGATTGGCATCTTTTCCGTGAATGCTAGGAAGAGAAAGATTTCTGGAGTCTTCTCCTTTTCTAACCCTAATGCTAATGCTAACTATAACCTTAATTCTCCATACCTCCTTTAGCCTCCACTGTCTCCCTAAGAGCCCCTGCTCCAAAGACAGTCACACTGGGGCACTGTCACATTGGAGATTAGGACTTCAATATGGCGTCCTGAAGGGTCAAAGTCCAGTTCATAACAACTGCAGATGCACACACTGTTGGAAGGCATTCCATGAAGTTGACCTATAGTAAGAAAATATACACTGTTTCCCATGCCGCCAGGTAGCCAGTGCATAGGTTCAGTCCCTATTGGAACCTACAGCGTGTGCTTCTTTTGTTTTTACAGCACTGAGATTCTATTGTATATGTTATCTTGCAGCTTACTTTCCTATCAACTAATGGCCAATGAATCTTTGAAATTTCTGTTGCAGTTTCCTGTTAGCGACTATGACTATCAGGTAGGTATTTTTTTTTTTTTTAGTTGAATAGTCCATTCATAAAACTTTTATTCCACCACAAACTTAATACATGTGCTCTTTAAATTATGCTTGGGTTGTTCATGAAAATTTCTTAAGACATTAAACAAAGGTAGCCATTGTCTCAAGTTATTTTCCTGCTAGCTATTTTTACAGCACCTGGGTGCTTAGGCAAGTATTAAAAAAAATCACAAGGCAAAAAAACTAAAAAAAAGTTATATACATGGGTATTTTGTTTACAGCTATACTTGCTATACATGAAGTAATGAATTCCAAGCAATTCACTTTTGCTGTGGCTTTATTTTTGTATTTGTTCTTAGGTTGCTTAAAACATTTCTTAATCCTGGGTGTGTGAGCACCTCAGTGTGTGTGGGTAGAATTCAGGAAGACTGTGATATTGTCTGGGGAAAAGGTGCCTGTGCATTGAAATATAGTGTATTCTTTAACTGGGTATAAAAAGGCAACAAGCCATGGTAGGATTAGTAAAAGCATTAGATATTTTCATATCACAATATAGTTTTGTGGAAATCCCTAAATATATCCTGGATGTTTTATGTTATAGTAATGGTCAGATCTGTGGACATTTAATGTGCTAATATAGATGCACTCAGATGACTATATTATATATTAATTTAAAAACTCTTTTTGAAAATATTTCAATAGAATCATTTTCCTTTGTGTTTCTGTTGTTATTTCTCCAAGTATTTAAAAATAGGGACTCTCTTGGGGTTGGGGATTTAGCTCAGTGTCACAGTGCCTGCCTGGCAAGCACAACGTCATGAGTTTGATTTCTGGTACCAGTAAAAAAAACAAAAAAACCAAAAAACCAAAAAACCAAACAAACAAAAAAACAGAGACTCTCAGGCCTCACAGGACCGTCAAAGGAATGGGTGCAACAATAAAGTTTAAGACCTCCTGGTCAGAGGTGCAGCTGAGAGTGAGGATGGGCTGTTTTCCTGTGAAGCTGAGGGTGAGGGGAAACTTCTGTCCCACCCACTACAGTCTGCTGACGTGAGGTGACAAGAGCAGACTCACAGGAGCAGCAGCACACATGGTCATGACCGTGCACATGTGCATGCCAGCAAACAGAATGTGAAGCTCAAGGGAGGAGGCGAGTGGTTGAACCTTAAATACCCTCTCCTTAGGGAGAGGGAATGGGTGGGGTACGGCAGGCAATTGCAGAGACATGACTGGGGCTGGGGAGGGGGAGAGAGCAGACAAGAGTTGGGGACGCAGTCCCTCCATGCTCCAGAGATGTAACTACACGGAGAATGGGGATGTTGCTGTGCAATTAGCAGATTCTCAGGTAATCACTCTGCACTGCTCTCAGGACATGGACACAGAAGTCAGCGCCTGGAAGCAAGGACTCTTCCTCTTCTGCAGGTCCTCTTCCCTGGTTATTGTGCCCCCTCTGGGACAGGAACTTCAGAAAGGGTCCCTGCCTGTCATGGGAGAGGAGCAAGGCAGGACAGAGAGATCTGGATTCTAGACTGCTTCTCCCATTCAGCAGGTCAGTGGGCCTTGCTTTGGGGGTACCATCTCCTGAGCCCCGGCAGCAGCCAACAGGATGTGCAGTGTCGTGTGGTTTCTCGCATACAGCCCACCGGGGGCCGGTGAGGGACAAGAGCCCTCCCACCCTCCTATGTGAGTGACACTGGACCTGTCCATGCAGCGGAGCGTGGGACCCTTATATGTATCACAATGAGAATTGCACCTGCCCTTACTATCTGCTATTAAAGAAAATTTTCAAAAGAGGTAGAATCTTCATGTAGGTAAAAAATAAACAAATGACAAAGATTTTAACACAATAATTAAATGAGAAAGCCAGAAAAGATGGGAGAACTGAGACTCCCTACCCCACAATTAGGTGGCAGCCGGCCCGATGTTGTGTCATCACCAACGTGACTGTGTGCTGTCCCTCTGCCTTCATCTGTGTGACCTTCATCTTCCCAGGAAGCCTGGCGCCTCCTTCCAGACAAACAACAGCCGCCACCCAGACAGCGCGTTGCTCACCCCGAGAATGGCATTCAAAGAAACCTTCAGGTTCTCCGAAACCCCGTGCCTTTGCTCCTCCGCTTGCTGCGCCCCCGACCCTGGAGTGCTGGGTCATGGTGCTCGCCCGGTCCGGCCAAGCTCCTGCGGGATCCGCTGAAGTCAAGCTGTCAAGCCCCAGTAAATTCCCGCCTCACCGTCCTTCCCCCCAGCCCCGCCGAAGCCTGCAGGGCAGCGCTTCCTCTCAGTGCAGGGAGCATCGGTCTTCCTGGTACTCAGGGGACCAGCCTGCAACAGCTTCGGAGCAGCGTCCTGACCCCGGGACATGGGATCTCACTGCCACGGCCAAGGCCCCTCTGAGCCCCGCTGCCTCTGCATGTGGGTCTGAATTTGACAGGCAAGGAGAGAACATGACCCCCTCACCCACATCTCACTGCGCTCCGCCAGGCGCCCTGAAGGAAAGGCAGGTTAAGGAGAGCCAAACAGTCGGAAGCTCGAGGACACGCTTGCCTCTGGCGTCTGTGAGAGAGAGCCCACAGAAATGAGCGGATCGTGGAGTAGATCTCAGAAAGGTGTCTTTGACTTCAGAGTTCTTCACCACCTAGGAAGGGAGGGTGCAGGTAAAGACCCCGTGAAGATGACCCTTTGATAAACACAGCTAAAAAACACCCGAAAACGAAGGTTAGGTTAGTTTTTGATTGATTAGTTGATTGATTGATTGATTGACCGTTTAAGGGCGGGTCTCCCTGTGTTGCTCAGGCTGGCCTCAGACATCACTATTCTCCTGCCTCAGTCTCCCGGTAGCACGGATGAAGGTGTTCCACCTCACTTGTGTAGGCCTAAGCTGCTGATCCCTCCCTCCATGAGGGAACTTCCTGTGACTAGTTACCCTCTTCCTGTTACTGAGGGAGTCGCATTTACAAATGGAGACTTCCTCTCTAGATGTCAGTTTCTCTTACAAAAATTTCCAAGTTTCTCCAAACAATAGCTCAAAATAATCCCTGTGCCACAGGAGCACATTACGGAGTGCCATAGTCCAGTCTTCCACGGCCGTGTTTTAGGGCAATGGTTCTAGCCCTATCAGAAGGTGAACATTGCTTAGAGAGTTGATGTCTTCCATTGAGCTCCTGGATGCTGAGTTTATTCTACCACCTGGGGTTAAGAAATTTGCCTTAAATGAAGCAAGGTGGCACAGGCTTGTAATCCCTGTATTCTTGGTGGCTGAGGCAGGAGGATTGCAAGTGTGAGCCTCATCCAGGCAATGTAGTCCTCTTGCAAGGCCCTGTCTCAAAATAAAAAATTAAAAAAGGGCAGCAGATGTCATCCAGCGTGAAGGTTCTGTGTTCAACCCTCAGTACTGCAACAAAGAATCCTTCTTAGGTGTCCAAAGTTGAAAAAAAAATAGCATATTCTCAGTGGAATCTGTACTAGTAATAAAACCAGTACTGCCCTTTGTCTCTCCCACCTTGTCGATGTTCTTATCCATCAAGAAGGGGACATTCAGAGGGAGAGGGTGGGAGACGGTTTCACAGTAAGTTTGCTCTGCGCACTGCGAGGTTCGCTTATAAAAGGAGTAGACTTCAAACCACCAGTGTTTTTCCTAATCATCGTAATAAAGCACGGGAAGAAATCAGATTCCAAGACTTCTTTTTGAAAAGGTTCCCCAGCCAGAGCAAAAGAGAAGACTTTAAATCGTCTCTCTGTTAGAGTTCCTTGAACTGCTGTTTGAACCCAGCAGTCACCTTCATCCCAGCCCCTGCTGCAGCCTGTCCTCCTGGCCCGGCTTTCCTGACTTCCTCCCAGCCCTCCTGGTACCCCAGTCCCTGAAAGCTCAGTTGCCTCTGGAGGTTAAACCCGCTTCAGAGCAAACAAAAGTCCTTTCTGTTGATTTCAGGCCTCAGTCTCACCCTGAGCTGAAAGTTATCACCAAGAGACTTTTCAAAGCCGGTGTAGGAGCGGGAGAAGTGTGAAGAGGAGATGCATACTTTTAGGTATGAATCATGGAGCACTTGCGACCTGCATTAGATAGTTCGTGTGTCAGTGGGGACTCAGGTGCTGAGGATGGAGTGGAGGAGACAGGATTGGGAGCCTGCAAGCGCGATTTCGAAGACACTGCCTGTCTGAGGAAAGCCGAGGAGTTTAGATGTGGGTCTGTCTATCATGGAGGCCTCTTTATGAACACAGCTGAGGTCCTAATCCCGCTGCAAGGAAAAAAAGGATGAGCCCCTAGGGACTTCAGAGAGAGGCTGGTTACACCTTTGGGCAGCAGCCAGGGGAAGATCTGGAAGCAGGCTGACCCTAGCCTTCCTCTCATTTTCTCTTTGCTTTTTCTTTTTTTCCTGCAGTCCTGGGAATTGAACCCAGGACCTTTGTGCTGAGCTACATCCCCAGCCCTTTTCTATTTTCATTTTTTTTTTTTTTTTTTTGGTTTTTTCTCCTGTACCGGGAACCGAACTCACGACCTTGAGCTTGCCAGGCAGGCACTTTGCCACTGAGCTAAATCCCCAGCCCCCTCTATTTTCATTTTTGAGACAGGTCTTCATTAAGTCGCTAAGTTGCCCGGGCAGGTCTTGAACATGAGATGCTCCTGCCTCTGTGTCTCCCTGAGTGCTGGGATGACAGGTGTGCGCCACTGCGCCTGGCTCCTCTCCCTTTTCATGAATAAGTATTTCCAGGCAGAAATCGGGTGTTTAATATGGCAGCATAGACTGAAATAGGAAATCACACCCCTGCTGGAATGCCCAACACTTTGTTGAGCAGTTTGAAAGCAGCTTGGGACAAAAATAATAGGAACCTGAATGAAGTTATGGCCTTATGCATAAAACATCTGGGCATCCCCCCCTCAAGTAACCCACTCCAAAGAAAAGAGTATTTCATAGATATTATAAACAGAAAAGTCACAAAAAATGAATGGCTCTGTTTTGGCTAAGCAAACAGAAAAAATAGGTAAAATATGCGGTTATTGATTAGTAAAGTCACAGGAGGAGCTCTGAAGAGTAAAGGAGGTCTTCTAATGGATTTATTTAAAGTAAGTGCTTCAATCAATTGAGTACTCAAAAATGTGCCAGAGATTAAGGATTTCAAAGTAATATTTTTGATATGTTGAAAAGATAGCCTCATAGAAACATAATTCTAATAGGTTAAGAGTTCAAGTCTACATAATTTAGGCAAAATTTTGTAAACAAAATCAGCATTACTTTTTGATTAATAAAAAAGCTATGTCTTCCCTGGCCTGTAGAGGTGGTAGGATCTTATGTTTTCATTCTACTTGTGTATGTTTTAAACTTGTACAGGTGAAGTGATCAAAGAAACCAATGTTGCTTCTAGTTGGGGCTTACAGTGATAAAAATAAAAATTTATGTTGATTTATTCTGAAATATTTATTTCAATAGTAATTATGTTTTGAAGCGTGTCAGCTGTAAGATTAATTTCTAAGATTCTTAGAACCCATTAAAGTTGAGTTAATGAATGGCTACATATTAGATTACTAGATAATTTCTAAGTAAAAATGAAACATTAATTAATAACCATAAATTCAAATTTATATACTTTTTCTTATTTTTATGTGCTACTTATAGGGGGCAAAAGGAACTTCCTTCCTCCTCTGAAGGTTTAAAATTGAGTCTGCCGAAATGAATGGACAATACGTAGATTAACAGGACGACAAAGATGCAGATCTATTACATGTCCAGGGGCATCATGGGAAATGAATACCCCAAATCCAAGGATATTTAAAAGTTCCATAGTGGAGAGGGGGTCTGGGGAGATGTAGGCAATTTGTGGAGAGTAAATAACTTGTAGGGTGGATGATCAGTTCTGAAGAACAGAAAACAGCCTAGGATGAAATTTGTCTGGAACATGGGGGTGGGGCTAACTCAAGTCTCCTTTCCTGAGAGTTCCATCCCCTGGAGAATCTGGCCTGCAGCCATCACGACATTAGAAGAAGCCCTTCCCTGCACTTCTGGGGAGGAGGTACGTGAGGCAAAGGGGTTGCAGGTGTCAGAGATACCCCAGTTCTGCTTTCTTTGCCTCAAGGTATTCAGCATGTCAGGTGAAACCATACTTTCGGGGTGCATTTCCTGAGCCCCAGCACTGTCTCTGGGACTGCGAATGGATATGCTCACTTCTGTCACTCTGAGAAGTTGTGTAGGGGATGTGTGTGGCTGTAGACAGTTGTGTTATGTGTACTCACAAGCACTGCTGGTCTGTAAAATGCTGATGTGCAACAGTTGACAATTATCCACACTCCTCCGTAGGCACTCCCTCCAAACTTTCTCTGGGAAATAGAAGTTACTCTGGTTAAAAGTGATAACTGAATATACCAGCATGTGACTCTACTATGCATAATCTTGGCCCAATAATGAGGTATTCTTTTTGCTTACAACAAAAGAAGATTATAATGTATGCAAACAATGAGCTGTGGAATCCATGGAAGCAATGAACCCTGATAAGCTATAGAATCTATTGCAGTTTTAGCAAACTTTGCTCAGTTTTGATGGCTTTTTCTATGATTTTACCTACAGTTTTAATAAAAATTTATTTATTTATTTATTTATTTGTTCATTGTTTTGTGTTCTTCTCCTTAGCAGGAGCCCGTTTCCAGATCTTCCAGGAGATGCTCTGAAATCCGCACCTCGCTTCCGGCACCTCTCCCGGATGGCTGTAGCCCAAGCCTTACCCAATGCTAATCAAGCCTTCTTTCCATTAAACTTTCAACTCTCAGTAAAAGGTGATGTCTCCTGGCTTCCTCTGAGATGTGGCCACAGCTTTGCAGGTGGTGTTCTCCTTTACTGCAATAAGTGACAGACTCAGTTTGCCTTAGCAAGAAGTGGTGTCCATGACATTTGGGGAACCAGCTTGATAAATGTTACAACTGGTTTAGAGGAGAAGTCAAAGTGCAGAGACTCTTATGGATCAGAAATAATGAAACGAGCTGGGTGTGGTGGTGCACACCTCTAATCCTGGTACTCTGGGAGGCTGGGACAAGAGGGCTGCAAGTTCAAGCTCAGCCTAGCACCTTAATGACTTAGGGAGACCCTGTCTCAAAAAATAATGAAAAAGAGCTGGGGCTCTATCTCAGTGTGAAGGCTCTAGTTCAACCTTCAGTATTTAAAAAAAGAATTTGAAAATGACTGCAAAGCTGCCTTTTTGGAGGGGAAAACGCAGACATCAGAAATTATTTGCATGTGTGTAGACAAAAATTACTTGCATTGTACATTAGGTAGATTTCGGTCAATGTTAAAAACACCTGAGATATTCAACTTATAAAGAGACCAGGTTGATTTTGGCTCATGGCTTCAGAGAGTTCAGTCCATAACAGCTTGGCTCTGTTGCTTTGGGCCTCAGTGGTTGTAGTACCTCATGGTGTGAGTGACTAGGACACAAAAAAAGAATGAGAAAGAGACCTTGTCCCACAGTCCTCTTTGAGGCCGTGTACCCAGTGACCTATAACCTCCCATAGTCCCACCTCTTAAAGGTTCCGTCACCTTCCAGTGGGACCGAACGAGGACCAAGTCTTTGACACATGTGTCTTGGGGAAGGCATTGCAGAACCAAAGACGAGCAAACAGTTCTGCATTATCCACCAGTTACAGGGTCCTACAATATCTCAAAGGCAGTGAAAGCCACAGAGCCCCATAGACTCAGCATCAGATAGCCCAGAAGGAATCGTGCACTCAGCCTGAAGGAGGTAGGCCAGATATGTGCTAGAGGATGCACATGTTTCCCCCTAAACTTTTAGAAGCTGGCTGTTTACAGTGGTCCTAGCGCATTTCCCAGGTATTAAGTTTAATCTTCACTTCCTGGGAAATGAATATTACAGCCTCCATTTTCAAAAGGAGGAAGCTAAGGCTTTTCAGAAAATGCAGAAATGCTCATTAACATTTGTAATTCTACATCACTCAGTGCGAATCTCATACACGGAGAGGAAACTTGCCAAAATCTTTGACTGGCAAGGGGAGAAAGCGGCTCCTGGATATCATATGCAGTGCCAGGTGCTCTCTAGCTCTTTAATTCGGGTTTTTAAAAAAATAATGGTCTTGCATTGTCTTTGAGCTACTTTGTAGCTCTGTGAATTGAAAAGCCATAGTGATGTCAGCGATGCCTTCTCAAGATCCATGCCAATGAAGGCTGATGGAGGGTGGGGTATTAACATCTTTTCACAAATCCACCAGCACGGTGGAATTTCTGATTGCCTGCATATGCGCCTACTCTTTGAATTCTCCTTTGAACCAGTTTAACACCTTAAGGTCCCCTCATTAATTGGTGAATGAAATAAAATCTTTGACATGTGTTCACTTTATATGGATATGAGAGTTGTGATTTTTACCCATTTAAAAAAATTGCCTATGTAGAAACCAGGGTGCTCTGGAGGCATCTCAGGTTTCAGACCCTACAGAAGATTTGGGGCTCATCCAAAGCTCTCCTTCTCTCTCTGAAATTATTCGATTTTAAGGCTGCATACCTGACATTCCTGGAGGTGAATGTTAAGCCTCTATTGTTTTCTTTGCAGAGCTATCTGATGGTGCAAACTATTTGTAAAACACAGGCTGGGCAATTAGGTCCTGCTAACTTCTTCCTGACTAAAATGCCAGGATAAATATTTAACAGCAACAAGTGACTGAAAATAAATAAAGACCCGTGAATGGTAGCTAATTTGGTGCTGCGAAGCAACCAGAGTGACTTGCCCGTCCTAGTTCCAGTTGCATATGACTCCTTGCCCGAGGTGTTTGGGTGTCAGTGCAGTCGCCTTTAACATTTGGGGCCTGAAAACTTCACAGATGCCACCCTTAGAGGCTTTGGAGTCTTTAGCTCCTGCCTCAGTGTCTTGAGCCAGGTCATTAATTGTTCAGAAGAAGTGTATTCTAGATGCAATTCTCAAGTTCCAGGCATCAGAAAAGTCAGATGCATTCAGGAGATAGAGTATATTAGAGTCTGAAAAAGCCACCTCAAATTAGTTTAAGCAAACGAACAAACAAACAAGACTGTTAAGTCACGTGGCAAAAGTCTGAGGACAGTGTCCAGATCCCGGGGCTCCAAAAACGCCATCAAAATCTGGTATTTCTCTTCCTTGTTCTGCTTCCTTTGTGCTGGTCCTGTTTTGCCACCTCACCCTCCCCAGGATCAGCAGAAAAGAGTCCAGCTCTCACCAGCTTTCTGGTTGTCCAGATGAACTTCTCAGGATTAAATCCAATCAGATTGGTCGCCATGGCTTGAATCATATGCCCAGCTCCGAGCCAATCCCTGTGTCTAGGAAGATATGCCTTTGTTTTTGTGGTGCTGGGGATTGAAAGGAGGCTCTTTGTATTGAGCTACTTCTCCAGATCTTTTTTATTTTGAGAGCAGTTTTCACTAAATCAATAAGTTGCTCAGGCTGGGCTTGAACTTACAGTCCTCCTGCTCCAGCTTCCTAGAGTGCTGGGATTACAGGTATATACCAATATTACAGACAGCTGTGTTAGATTGAAATATTATAGGTAACCAGACAGTGATTGACCCTCCAGGGAGTCAGTACAGAGGATGAGAACACATCACAACTGTGGTTGGCGGTGCATCTGTTGAACACCAGGCCTCAAGATAAAGACAGAATGGCCAGGCCTACCCGCCTCCCCAAGGGATAACATACCTGGTATCATCTGGTCCAATAAAGTCTAAATAGGCCTCAGTCACCCCGGGGGGGGGGGGGTCAAGACCTCCTAATCCAGCCCTTCCTAAAGGATCTTCGTTCTTTACCCCCATTGGATCAATATCACCTAAGCATCTATACTTTTACTCTTATTGGTTGATCATAGTTTTCACCCACATTGTAGCCACCTCATGATTTTGCTCTATAAAACTTCCTTTGAGAAGTGAGCTCATTGGCAACTCAATTTTGAGTCCCCTCCTGTTGCTGAGGAGCTGTCTCTCTCAATAAAATTTTCCTACTCTTAAACTCCATTGTTCCTTAGAATTCATTCTTTGGTTTTGGGGAACAGGAACTTGGTGTATCTGACATCTAGCAGGTTGGGAGTTACATTTATTTCCCCTGTATCATCACCACACCCAGCTAGATATGATGTTTTGATGGTCAGAATGGAGTTACAATTGCAGAATTGGAGCTAGGGGTTGAACACTTACCTCTGATTAGCCCCAAAATGCTGAGAGCAGGGGAGGAGGCTCCTTAGAGGACAGTCAAGGAACTTCGCTACTGGAGGCCCGAACAGCACATAGGATGGATGACACTGACTGAAGCCCTCAGGTTGAAACTTGTCAAGAGGCCATACTTTTTAAAAGAAATTAGTGCCCGTTTGCAGTACACAATGGTTACATTCCTGCGTGGAGCCAGTCCATGCACACAGCACATCATCATTCCTTTTCGCATTCCTCCCCCTCGCCTCCTCCCTTCCTCCACCTCTGGATTCCCTTCCCACTTGAGAAAGATCTGTGTCTCTACTGTTTGTCGTCTATCTTTTATGTTGCTCTTTATTTATAGTTTGGGTTTCTTTTATAAGAAAAATCATGCAATATTTAAGTTTGTGTATCTGATTTACTTCACTTAGTATCATGGTTTCAAGATGATCCATTTTCCTACCAGTGACTGAAGTTTGTCTTTATGGCACAGTAGTACTCCACTGCATGTAAATACCACATTTTCTTTATCCATACACCTGCTGGTGGACTTATAGGCTGCTTCTAAGATTTAGATATGATGATTTTTGCTGCTGTAAACATAGGAATGCCTGGATCCCTGTAATATGATGTCCTTAAGTCTTTCAGGAAGATGCCTAGAAGGAGAATAGTTGGGTCTACCTGCAGCTTTTTGAGGAATCTCCTTACTTATTTCCATAGTGGTTGTACCAGTTTACACTCCCACCAGCAGTGCAGGTGCCTGGCTTCTGGAGGGCTGCATCTCTGGCCCAGTTGGCTGGTTCATTGGAGTCTACAAGCATCCATTTATTCTGCCAGTACAAACTTACTGAGCAGGTCCTGTGAGACTGGCCCTGGTCTAAATATGGGTGGTGGGGAAGATGCAGAGGTATCCATGTCTCTGCTGCCAGAGAGGGTACAACATTCTTGCCATTTTATTGCCAGTGCCCTTGGCCATCAGATACTGTGCTGAGAGTACACTCTGTGGGAAAGCTGTTGGTGGGGCTCTGCAGAGCTTGAAGATGCTTAAGGCTTTTGGACCTAATCTATTCACATCTTATGTTCACATAGATCCTTTAACAGTTTCAGATTTCTCCCTGACCCAGCATCTTTACCATCTCTCACTCATTCACACCTGATCTATGGTCTATTAGGAGACTATCACAGTGAAATACATCTCTTAGAGTCACTGTGGATCTGACCATGAGGGCCGGGACCTCCTGTGCATACTATAGAGAGTGAGGTGATCACATCTTCAGCCCGCCCTTGGCTGTCTAGAGTTTGCATGGTCATGCACCTTGCAAATTGTCCTCAATGTGCCTATAGTACCTTTACCAAGTGGGCGGTCATAAAAAATTCCATTAGAAGCAGTTCCAGGGTTTGAATGTTGTAGGTGTTGCATAAGCAATTGCTCTGGTAATGTAACATAAAAGTTCTAAGAGGATAAGACTTAGGTCTTACTATGCAAAGAAGTGAGGGTGAAAAATTCATGGGCCCTACAGTTTTGGGGGCTTATGGTAGAGGTACTCCCTTAGGACACTGGAG